ATACCATCTCATGCCAGTTAGAATGACAATCATTAAAAAGTCAGGAAACAAAGGATGCTAGAGAGGATATGGAGAAATAGAAATGCTTTTATACTATTGGTGGGAGTGTAAATTAGTTCAACCACTGTGGAAGTCAGTGTGGTGATTCCTAAAGGATCTAGAAGTAGAAACACTATTTGACTCAGCAATCCCATTACTGGGTATATACCCAAAGGATTATAAATCATTCTACTATTAAAACACATGCACAAGTATGTTTATTGTGGCACTATTCACAATAGCAAAGACTTGGAACCAACCCAAATGTCCATCAATGATAGACTGGATAAAGAAAATGTGGCACATTTGCACCATGGAATACTATGCAGCCACAAAAAAAAAAGGATGAGTTCACGTCCTTTGCAGAGACACGGATGAAGCTGGAAACCATCATTCTCAGTAAACTATCACAAGAACAGAAAACCAAACACTGCATGTTCTCACTCATAAATAAGAGTTGAACAAGAAGAACAAATGAACACAGGGAGGGAACACCACACACTGGGGCCTTTCAGGGGGCAGGGGGTTAGGGTAGGGATAGCATTAGGAGAAATACCTAATGTAGGTGACGGATTGATGAGTGCCGCAAACCACCATAGCACGCGTATACCTATGTAACAAAACTGCACACTCTGCACATGTACCCCAGAACTCAAAGTATAATAAAAAAAAAGAAAAGAAAAGAAAGAAAGAAAAAAGAAAATAAGAAGGAGGAGGAAGATGATAAGAAAGAGTTCTGGTGCTGTCAGTCTGATAAATACCAGGCCAGATGATCTCTACATTTCCTTCTAACATTATTTTTCTCTAATGGTATCACTAGATGTAACCCAAAGACAAAGCAGTTAACGGCCGGGTGCAGGGGCTCACGCCTGTAATTCCAGCACTTTGGGAGGCTGAAGCAGGTGGATTACCTGAGGTCAGGGGTTCAAGACCAGCCTGACCAACATAGTGAAACCCCATCTCTACTAAAAATACCAAAATTAGCCGGGCATGGTCGCAGGTGCCTGTACTCCCACGTACTTGGGAGGCTGAGACAGGAGAATTGCTTGAACCCCAGAAGCAGAGGTTGCAGTGAGCCAAGATGGCACACCACTGCACTCCAGCCTGGGTGACAGAGCAAGACTCCATCGAAAGAAGGAGAGAAGGAAAGAAGGAAGGAAGGAAGGAAGGAAGGAAGGAAGGAAGGAAGGAAGGAAGGAAGGAAGGAAGGAATTAAGACAACATCAAATAAAGAATCATAGTGAAAATTAGGAATGTGTGACCTAAGAGGAAAAAATGTAACTCTGATACTCTAGCAAGGACTGGACTAGTATAATAATGAGATAATCTACAATGAGGAGATGAGCCCTCACCCACCCATGCCACCTCACTTGCTGCTTACTATTCTCCTACACTGAACCTGAGTTTGGTCTAGATCAGATTTTTTACGTGCAATTCAAGACCCACTTGTAAAATTGTCCTAGTACCATTATTCCAATATATTCCAATATATTTCTCTACATTAATTACTTTTTCATATAAATGAATTTGGAGTTTATTATTTCCCTTCCTAATACACTCCAAAATATATACACAATTATTAAAATGATATTCAACCAGAGACTAACCAAAATCACATTCATCAACTGACTGGGCTAGACAACTCTTCCAAATCTAAGTATCAATGGTCAAATAGTCTTCAACATATATGAACTTGCTCAAAATTACATTCATTCCAAAAGCCTCAGTCCACTTTCCCCACTTATTTCGTGGTTTGCTCATGAAGCCTAAATAATAATTTTTTTAACACAAAATATAAGAAAACACTTCTTTTAGCTTAGCTTCTTGGGTTCTTTAGTTCCTGTGCCTGTTTCTTTTGCTCTTGGTCATGTAATTACAAAGAATGATATTTCATTACTTGATGCTGTAAATAAGATGCCTGTGAAGGTTCCTGTTTTGGAATAATGTCAACTCTATATTGCCAACAGCTAGCAACATGGCAGTCTGGTAATAAGAAAAGGAAAAATTTCCCAGCTTAGCATTTCCAGAATGAAATTAATTATGAGAATTCAACTTCTTCTAAGTCTCTGGGTATTCAAGTCTTTCTCTCTGAAAGTTAGTTATAAATGATTTTGCACTTTCTATGCTGGGTAATGTGGGAAAATTTCATAACCTGAAGAGGAATTGAAACATTGAAATATGATTTAACCGCTTTACTCCAGCTTCCAGGGACGCTTTCAGTGCTACCTGGGCTGGCTCCTTCTGCTCCAAGAATCATTGATATTCTCTGTGCCCATCATTTCCTAGCCTTGACCACTGTTTGAGCTCAGCTTTGTTATTTTTGTTATTTTTATATGCCTGTACCACTGAGATACTGTTAAAATTGCCTATGCAGACATCCTGTCAGCCAAATAGGCCTGAAATCTTGCCTAGCTACGATTACTTCCCTCTTGCTTCCCACTCATAAGCATTGTCTTTCCACATTCCAGCTAATAAGACATTCATTTTGGATTCATTAATTCAACAGACATTTATTAGCTTCCATTTTGTGCCATACATTATAGGAGATTTTGTGGAGGATATATCAGTGAATAAAACACTCTGACTTCAATAAGCAAAAATGTATAGAACCAATAGTGAAGATAGATAACAGGTCAATTCCTCTCTACCTCCAATCACTGTAACGGTAACATCATGAAGACGGAAATCATATTTTATAAATTATATTCTCTGCACCTAGAAATGTGCCTGGCCCTTAATAGCAGTTAATAAAATATATTTTATATGACTAGAAAGATTATGCAAAAACTCAGTGAAAAGAAAAGTTATTTTGGCTAGAGATATCAGAGAAGGTTTCTTGGAAGAAGTGGCAATTGAAGCAGACCTTAAAGAAGAGATCAAAACTGAAATTTGTAAAATGTTGCTTTGCTTATAAAAGTAATATAAACATATGAAAATACTAGACACATAAATGTGTTTTTAATGTTCAAATTATTCATACATATAACAACCAAGAAGTCTAAACGGATATGGCAGAAAAAGAGCTTACAGATTCTCTCCCTTAATACCTAATAATTACCTCCAAATTACAAAAAACTTAATATAATTTTTTTAATTAATAAAAATGGAAAAAGTACCAGTAGCATCCTGGCATGTACGGAGGTAAGAAGGGGGAAAAAATACTAAGCTCTTTGCCTTGGTGCCTAATCCACCTCAGCACCAAGAGATTTAATGGTAAATTATTATAATAATATCCCTATAATTCTCATGAATATCCACAAATTTGAAAAGCAGTAAACTGTGGAAGGGTTTTTTTAATTTTCTCCTCTGACATAATACTGTTGAGAGGATTGATGTAAACGATTGATGGCAAGCGAAAGTGAAAACTGAGTGGACTTCCTTTTCCAGAAGGAAAGACTCAAATTTCTATGAGGAAATGGGAAACAATTCCAGCTTCAAGAGTATCTTCTAACATCCCCATACCACCATGATATTAAGAAACACTACCACAAATAGGATTAACAAAATTGTAGAAAAGAGCTCAAGATCCAGTTTTATTTTCTGGAAGTCAGTAGTAGTCATATTATCACATTTTGTATATCAGGTAAGTATTTGTATTATCCAGTCTTATGGCATTATTATTTTGTAATTTTATCTTTAAATCCCCTATTTTTATTGATTGGCAACATAAAATCTAAGTATGAGCAACTTCCTTAGTCCCAGCATTCACTCTTCTGTCACACCTAAGCCCAATCAATTTAAAAACATTAGACCCATCATTACTCAGATAAAACAGATTATTAAGAGTAACAGAAAATTCACTCATACTACATCAACCAACCAAAAGACTAAGACATTTTACAGTAAGCGTAAGCAGTTTTTTAAAGAGAGAGAGAGAAAGTCAGGCAAGTGTCCAAAAATGCTACAGTGAAACATTAAAAGAATGAAAGGTGGCATGCAAAAGGTATTCTGAAGAACCTCAACTGGAAGAAAATATACGCTATGAAACAAAGGACAAATCTCCACAACAGCTTCATGTTACTTAAAATCCAATACAATTTAATAAAACAAGAATTCAGATGCCAAATTATGGAAGAACAGAATGAAATTAAATGGCTGATTGCATAACTAAGGAAACAAATTAAGAGCCAAGATATCATAATTATAAAACTGATAAATTACAAACAAACTGGACAGACACAGCTGTAAAATGAATGACTGACATAAAACAAAGATTTAATAGCATCACAATGAAAGACTAAAGAACAAAGTCAAAACAATTACAGATAATCAATATGGAAGACAAAGATGATCTAAATTATACATAACTGATATCACTGAAAAGATATTCAACTATAAAAACAGGTAAAAAATAGAAATTATCCCAGAAATGAAGCAAGAACCAAATCTGCATACTGAAGAAGCACACCATAGTAAAATAAAACTTGAGGTATAGGTATCAACACCCGAGTGTTACTGTATATGTGTATATACATATATAGAGAATGTCTACTATGTATTGTATAATACATATATTTTCTATTTTTTTATGTGTAAGGCAAAAATAAAGCTGGCCTAATAATTCTCCTCAGCAATTTCCATTATCAAAAGATAATAAAGGGATATATGTACAAAGTTCTAAGAGAAACAAAATATGACAAAATAACATTATATCCTACCAAACTGTCTTTCAAGTACAAAGGTAAATTTTTTTAACATGAAGGAGCTCAGGAAGTACAAATCTTGCAAGTCCTTCTTAGGGAAAAACAAAAAAAAAAAACTAATATAAAATTAAATCCAGTCAATGAACACATGAATGTAAAGTCTGAGCCTATTAGGACCAATATACCATCCAAAGTCAAAAGATATTACAGCAAGGTTCACAACGTTCTGAGGCAATTGAATTTAATACACACTTGTTGACTGACTGAATAACTTCATTCAGGTTAAAAGCAAATAAACAATAATAGCAGAAAACTTACCAAGTCTTGGGAGAGAGATAGACATCGAGATCCAGGAAGCTCAAAGAACTCCAAACAGATTCAACCCAAAATGATTCTCTCTGAGGTACATTGGAGTGAAATTGTCAAAAGTCAAAAATGAAGAACTGTAAAAATAGCAATAGAAAAGCATTAAGTCACATACAAGAAAATCTCCTAACAGCAGATTTCTCAGCAGAAACTTAAAAGGCCAGTAAAGAATGGGTGATATATTCAAACTACTAAGAGAAAAAAAATGGCCAGGCACGGGGGCTCATGCCCGTAATCCCAGCACTTTGGGAGGCCAAGGTGGGCAGATCACCTGTCAGAAGCTCGAGACCAGCCTGAACAATACGGTGAAACCCCATCTCTACTAAAAATACAAAAATTAGCTGGGCATGGTGGCAGATGCCTGTATTCACAGCTACCTGGGAGGCTGAGGTGGGAGATTGTTTGAACTCAGGAGGTGGAGGTTGCAGTGACCTGAGATCTCACCACTGCACTCCAGCCTGGGCAATAGAGTGAGACTCTGTCTAAAAAAATAAAAAAGCTGGTAAGGATGCAGATTAAAAAGAACTCTTCTACTCCGATGGTAGAAGAGTTCTGCCACAGTGCAGAACAGTATAGAGGTTCCTCAAAAAACTACCATTAGAACTGTAAGATCCAGCAATCCAACTACTGGGAATCTATCCAAAAGAAAGGAAATGATATCAAAGAGACATCCATACCCCCATGTTTATTGCTGCACTATTCACAATAGCCAAGATATGGAATCAACCTAAGTGTCCAATAACAGATGAATGGGTAAAGAAACATGATATGTATAGTGGAATACTATTCCACCATGAAAAAAATGAAATCCTGTCATTCACAGAAACATGGATCAGACTGGATGACATCAAATGAAATAAGCAAAGAACAGAAAGTTAAACACCACATGTTCAAACTCATATGTAGAAGCTGAAAAATGCTGATATTATAGAAGTTAAAAGTATAACAGAGGATACTAGAGGTTAGGAAGGGTAAGGAGAAGGGAGAGATAAGGGAAGATGTGGTAAAGTATGCACAATTACAGCTAGATAACAGGAGTAAGATCTAGTGTTCTTTACCACTGTAGGCTGACACAGTTAACAATATATATAATTTCACATAGCTAGAAGGAGGATATTAAATATTCTCATCACAAATAAATAATACTTTTTTGCAATAATAAATATGCTAATTACATCATTATGTACCCCATGAATTTGTACAATTATTATGTCAATTTTTTTAAAATTTAAAAAGTTATGTACTATTTGATTTGTTCCTAGGGGCTGCCAAAATATCATTGACCTGTCCCTTAGGAATACATGGCTCTATTCTGCTATCAAAATTTTATTTCTCAAAAAATATAATTAGGCATATAGAACTGATCCCCAAGTAAGTCCTATTCTTTTTTACTCCCATTATATTGCTCACCTGATTTTGCTTCTGCACAAAGAGCTGTTATCTCTATTTCCAGGCCCTCCCTATATATTACCATAATGGACAATCTAGTAATATATTTCAAAAACTTTAAGTATCTTCATGCCTTTGACACAATAAATTATCTTCCGGAAATTTGTATTAAAAAGTAGAGGCATGGTGGCTGGCAAGATGGCCCAATAGGAACAGCTCAGGTCTGCAGCACCCAGCAAGATCAACACAGAAGGTTGGCGATTTCTGCATTTCTAACTGAAGTACCTGGCTCATCTCACGGGACTGGTTAAACAGTGGGTGCGCCCCCGGAGGGCAAGCCAAAGCAGAGTGGGGTGTCACCTCACCTGGGAGGTGCAAGGGGTCAGGGAATTCCCTCCCCTAGCCAAGGGAAGCCATGAGGGACTGTGCTGTGAGGAATGGTGCACTCTGGCCCAAACACTATGCTTTTCCCATAGTCTTTGCAACCCACAGACCAGGGGATTCCCTCGGGTGCCTATACTACCAGGGCCCTGGGTTTCAAGCACAAAACTGGGCAGCCATTTGGGCAGACACCGAGTTAACTGCAGGAGTCAGTGGTGCGTGGAATGCCAGCAAGACAAAACTGTTCACTCTTCTGAAAAAAGGGCTGAAGCCAAGGAGCCAAGTGATCTCACTTAGCAGATTACAACCCCATGGAGCCTAGCAAGCTAAGATCCACTAGCCGAAAAATCTTGCTGCAAGCATAGCATTCTGAAGTTGACCTGGCACACTTGAGCTTGGTGGGGGGAGGGGGCATCCACCATTACTGAGGCTTGAGTAGGTGGTTTTCTCCTCACAGTGTAAACAAAGCCACCAGGAAGTTCCAGCTTGGTGGAGCCCACCGCAACTCGGCAAAGCTGCTGTAGCCAGACTGCCTCTCTAGATTCCTCCTCTATGGGCAGGGCATCTCTGAAAGAAAGGCAGCAGCCCCAATCAGGGGCTTATAGATAAAACTCCCACCTTCTAGGGACAGAGCACCTAGGGGAAGGGGTGACTGTGGGTGCAGCTTCAGCAGACTTAAACATTCCTGCCTGCTGGCTCTGAAAAGAGCAGCAGATCTTCGAGCACAGTGCTCAAGCTCTGCTAAGGGACAGACTGCCTCCTCAAGTGGGTCCCTGATGTCCCTGACCTCTTTGCCTCCTGATTGGGAGATATATCCCAGCAGGGGTGGACAGACATCTCATACAGGAGAGCTCTGGCTGGCATCTGGCAGGTGCCCCTCTAGGACGAAGCTTCCAGAGGAAGGAACGAGCAGCAATCTTTGCTGTTCTGTAGCCTCTGCTGGTGATACCTAGGCAAACAGGGTCGGGAGTGGACCTCTAGCAAACTCCAGTAGACCTACAGAGGAGGGGCCTGACTGTTAGAAAAAAAAAACTAACAAACAGGAAGGAAGAGCATCAACATCAACAAAAAGGACATCCACGTAGAAACCCCACGAGAAGGTAACCAACATCAAAAACCAAAGGTACATTAATCCATGAAGATAAGGAAAAACCAGTGTAAAAAGGTTGAAATTTCCAAAATCCAGAACACCTCTTCTCCTCCAAAGGATCATAACTCCTCACCAGCAAGGAAACAAAACTGGACAGAGAATGACTTTGATGAACTGACAGAAGTAGGCTTCAGAAGGTGGGTAATAACGAACTCCTCCAAGCTAAAGAAGCACGTTCTAACCCAATACAAGGAAGCTAAAAACTGTGAAAAAAGGGTTAGAAGAGGCCGAGCACAGTGGCTCATGCCTATAATCCCAGCACTTTGGGAGGCTAGGCAGGCAGATCATGAGGTCAGGAGTTCGAGACCAGCCTGACCAACACAGGAAAACCCCATCTCTACTAAAAATACAAAAATTAGCCAGGCGTGGTAGCACACATGAGTAATCCCAGCTACTCAGGAGGCTGAGGCAGGAGTATCACTTGAACCCGGGAGACAAAGGTTGAAGTGAGTCGAGGTCGCACTATCGCACTCCAGCCTGAGCAACAGAGCAAGACTCCATCTCCAAAAAAAAAATAGAGGGAGTGGTTAGAGAAATTTCTAAATTGAATAACCAGTTTAGAGAAGAACATAAATGACCCGATGGAGCTGAAAAACACAGCACGAGAACATCATGAAACATACACAAGTATCAATAGCTGAATCAGTCAAGCAGATAAAAGGATATCAGAGATTGAAGATCAACTTAATGAAATAAAGCATGAAAACAAGGTAAGAGAAAATAGAATGAAAAGGAATGAACAAAGCCCTCAAGAAATATGGGACTATGTGAAAAGACCAAACCTACAATTGATGAGTGTACCTGAAAGTGACAGAGAGAATAGAACCAAGTTGGAAAACACACTTCAGGATATTATCCAGGAGAACTTCTCCAACCTAGCAATACAGGCCAACATTCAAGTTCAGGAAATACAGAGAACACCACAAAGATACTCCTTGAGAACAGCAACCCCAAGACACATAATCATCAAATTCACCAAGGCTGAAATGAAGAAAAAAAAACGTTAAGGGCAGCCAGAGAGAAAGGTCAGGTTGCCCACAAAGGGAAGCCCATCAGATTAACAGTGGATCTCTCAGCAGAAACCCTACAAGCCAGAAAAGAGTGGGGGCCAATATTCAACATTTTTAAAGAAAAAAACTTTCAACCCAGAATTTCATATCCAGCCAAATTAAGCTTCATAAATGAAGGAGAAATAAATTCCTTTACAGACAAGCAAATGCTGAGAGATTGTGTCACCACCAGGCCTACCTTACGAGAGCTCCTGAAGGAAGCACTAAACATGGAAAGGAACAACCAGTACCTGCCACTGAAAAAACATACCAAATTGTAAAGACCATCGACACTATGAAGAAACTGCATCAACTAATGGGCAAAATAACCACTTAGCATCATAACGACAGGATCCAATTCACAATAACAATATTAACCTTAAATGTAAATGGGACAAATGCCCCAATTAAAAGACAAAGACTGGCAAATTGAATAAAGGGTCAAGACCCATCAGTGTACTGTATTCAGGAGACCCATCTCATGTGCAAAGACACACAGAGGCTGAAAATAAAGGGATGGAGGAATATTTAGTAAACAAATGGAAAGGCAAAAAAAGCAGGAGTTGCGATGCTAGTCTCTGATAAAACAGACTTTAAACCAACAAAGATTTTTAAAAAAGACAAAGAAGGGCATTACATAATGGTAAAGGGATCAATGCAACCAGAAGAGCTAACTATCCTATATATATAGGCACCCAATACAGGAGCACCCAGATTCATAAAGCAAGTCCTTAGAGACTTACAAAGAGACTTAGACTCCCATACAATAATTGTGGGAGACTTTAACACCCCATCGTCAATATTAGAAAGATCAATGAGACAGAAAATCAACAAGGATCTTCAGGACTTGAACTCAGCTCTGAACCAAGCAGATCTAATAGACATCTACAGAACTCTCCACCCCAGATCAACACAATATACATTCTTCTCAGCACCACATCGCACTTATTCAAAAATTGACCACATAATTGCAAGTAAAACACTCCTCAGCAAATGTGAGAGAACAGAAATTCATAAGAAACAGTCTCTCAGACCACAGTGAAATCAAATTAGAATCCAGAATTAAGAAACTAACTCAAAACTGCACAACTACATGGAAACTGAACAA